TAGTTATACACAAATACATATATTATGAATAATATATGTATATATATATACATATATAATGGATTATCTGAGGGCTATAAAAAGAGACAGGGACCACCCACCTTTAGTTCCTGGTTGAATTTGGAACGGTACAAGAATACTCCAGACAGTTGCGCTGACGTACGAGTTGGCTGGTTACACACTGGCTGACCAACAAGTTGACTGTGAACACACCGGCGGTATGACTTAGGCCCTGCTCTCTCTGATGTCTATCTGCGTCCAAAATTTGTACCCTGGAATGTTCTTGTTCCCAAATGGTTCCAAACCTGAATATTACAGAAAAGATTGGTTATGTCAGCAAAAGTCCACATCACAAAAGAAAGACATGATTATGAACTTCTTTGATACAAATCAATTAAAGATAGATGAAGAGTAGGAACAGAAGAAAGCACAGGAGTCGGGAATTTGAATCAAGCGTTCTTTGTATTTTACCAAACAGAACAAGGAAAAAAAGATATTGAAAAATTTGTGAATACTAACTTGAAGGCAACCCCTCTGCTCAGAGTACGTTCTTCAATTGAAAGCAAAAGGCACAAACAATACGAAATGTGTTCTTTTCCCACATGGAAATGTTCTTTACCTCTAGAATCTCAGATTTGATTTCTCAACGACGATGGAGTATCAATTTAAATAGATGGCTGTCTCTCTAGTGAGCCGCTCTGTTGTTTCAAGGTGCAGGCTCCGCTCTATGTGTGTGTGTGTGTGCGTGTATGTGCGTGAGTGGGTGAGTTGATGCTGGCTTCTGTGCAGCAATGGCGTGTGCGCGCGCGCTGAGAGCGTCAGAAGCGAGAGAGCAGGGACGACAACAGAGAGGCAAAAAGGGAGCGGCACTCGTGGTTCGCGCTGGAACAGGTTCCAGAGGACGAGAGAGAATATTATGTGGAGGGAGGGAGTAGAGGGGAATGAGGGAAGGAGGGGAGGGAGGGAGGGAAGGAGGGGATGGGGATTGAGAGAGGGGAGGGTGAGGGAAAGAGAGAAAAAAAGAAAGTGAGGAGGAGGGGTGGAGGGGTGGAGGGGTGGTGATCCACGGTTAAGTTCCAGAAAACGAGAGAAGGAGATTAATTAGATAAGGACAATAGATGTTTGATAAGAAAGAAGGAGCAAACCGAACCGGACCACCTACCAACCACCCCCGCTGACTTTTGAATAATCTTTTTTTTCTTTTTTTTCTTTTTTTTTTTTCTTTTTCCTTTTTTGCGGGGGTTGGGGGTGTGGACAGTGCAGTAGGTTGGTGATGCTGATTCTGTTCTGTTAAGCTCTCATACCACGTGGTGCTTGTGGAAGGGTCTTGCCGTCCGGTCTCCAAGCTTTGGCGTAAAATGCTTCGAAAATACGTTATGACCACGAAGAGGCCGGAAACTTTGCTCTTTTCAAGTTACTCCAAATGCCCAGCCTATTCAGACCGGCGTCTGTGGTATAGCGGTTAGCGTTTCGCTGTAGCACGCAGGAGACCCGAGTTCGATTCCCGAGTGTGGATGATTTTTATGAAGAATCCCGGTCCTCCCCGGTCTTTCTGCTAGGGTGCTGTATCCCTCTCCCCCCGGATTGACCCTGACAGGCAAACTCGAAAGCTCGCCTCCTAAATAATATAAATCATGTCGATGTGAGTTTAAAAACACCTGCATAAAAAGTCTATTTAGATTTCAATACATTCAGAAACTAAGGGTACAAGGATAATGACAAACTTACCATCTCCCGTCTCCCATCTCCCATCAACCAAGAATCGTGTCAAAATGTACCGTCTCCCGTCTCCCCAAAATCATGTTAAAACGTACCTTTCTCAATCTCCCGTCTCTCGAGGACTATGACAAACCGAACTGTCTCCCGTCTCCCGTCTCCCGTCTCCCGTCATCCATCTCCCATCAACCAAGGATCATTACAAAACGTACAGTTTACCATCTCCCAACGACTACGTCAAAACTTACCGTCACTTATGGTCTCCCGTCTCCCGACTCCCGACTCCCGACTCCCGACTCCCAAGGATCATGGCAAAACTTACTGGCTCAAGTCTCCCATCACCCAAAAATCATTTTTTAAATGCAATGTAAAGGGTAGCTGCAAGAAAATATATGTCAATATTTCCTTGATAAATTCAACATCTAAATTAACCGATTCTGTAGATAATTGGCATTTATATAAAACAACTATGCGGACACAAAGCGGCCACATTTCATGTCAATATAATGTTGTTTGATGATATACCTAGGCACACTTATAGCAATTAACCCTGAATAGGAATAAATGAGCTCGCGGTGGCTTTCTCGGTAACTAAAAGGATCATTAGATGACTAAATGACTTGATCGAAGCCAATCCTCAAGTAAGGTCAGTGGGACAGCTGACACGTCAAATAAGGGACCTGAAGCGTGAGTCCGCTCGAGGGATATTGCGATATGATTTAATTTTTAGCCTGGATCCGTATCGCATTGCAGTGAAACAAAAAAACTGAAACCATAAAGACATCAAATCACGCGTCGACACGTTCTAGTGGTTCGCTCAGCAGTTTGAAAGAAACCCAGATTGGGCGAACAAAATAATAATATGGTTCCCAGATGAATCACATTTTCATTTAGATGGGCGAATCAATCCTAAGAATTCTGTATTCTGGGCCAGACACCCTACCAATTATGTCCAAGAGCGCCCATTTCACGCGGAGAGACGTCGTGCACAATCTGGGTGGCACTCAGCAGCCACGCCATTATTGGTCCACTATGGTTTAAGGAGAACGACAAGACCGCTAGAGTGACAAGTGAAGAGTGTGTTGCGGTCTTTAAGAAATTTTGGAAAGGTGTATGGAGGAGGCAGGTGTTATAAGGAATTACATGGTTTCAGCAGGATGGAACCGCTCCTCATACAGCCAGTGTTTCCCTGACTTGACTTCAAGAAAATGTCCAAGATCGAGTCATCAGCCCAGAACCGATTTGCGAATGGTCTACCCACAGCCCGGACAAGAACCCACTGGATATCTTTTCAATGTAGTTTGTAAAGACAAGGGTTTACCAGTAAAATCCTTTTAAAAATTAACGATGGGATGGAGAACAGTGCACATCAAACTGGCAACATCGACCAGCACTTGTGTGTGCAAGCGATTTACAACTTTCAAAAAACGATGGTTGAAATGAAAACATGATGAGCCAATCGTTTAAATGAATCAAGGTGATTTTAATTTTTACTCAGACTTTAATGATAAAATGTTGGTGTAAAAAATTTAGACTTTAAATAATTGAAGCGAAATTGTCAAGGCATTACATTGTGCATGTGTTGCAATTTTTCTGCATCGTTTTTTAAAGCAGGGGGGGGGGGTCTCGAAAAAGTCCATTTTAGGTAGTTTTAAGAAGTGTTACATTTCAAGATGACTCCTTATATTTCAAACAACGACACACGCTATCTGCATAATTCAATTTTAAGATTCTGAAGTTCTGATTTGAATTTATACTATTTGATTTATTTAGATTTTAGTAAACGACATTTTTTTTCGGTCACCCAGAAGTAAGTTGTCAAAATACCTACATCACAATAATATGTAATACTTTGATGAGCATGCTGGATCGTGAAAGATGATTACGTCTATAATATATATATAT